GATATTGTGATGCTATTCAAAAATACATTAACTCTTACAATATGCAGCAGGTTCATCTTATCCATCTCCTGAAAAGGAAGATAAAATAAACGTACCGCATTCATTGCCATGGTCTAAATATTAAAAAAATATGCGTGATTTGATAAAAGGCAGTCAGTTGGTTCATCAGTATCATTGATACAATCTCGTTAACTATCACATATCCAAGAATATAGCATACAAGGACCATTTCCACATCAAAATTGCGCAAGATTTAAAATAAATAAAATTATGAAAATAAAACTTTCATATAAATCTACTTATATTGCATTGAATAATATGACAAAAAATGGGACTCTCATCACTGTTATAACCACAATCAGTGTCACTATCTATTCAAAAATAAAAGAAACTTCATTAAAATGAATTAGCTTTCTTTGTGTGTTATATGCGATATAAATCAGTTCTTTAAATACAAATATTATTAGTTGGAAATTGCATACTATTTATTCCATTACAAATACGAGATGGACAATCGACTTCATCAGTGACATTCTCATCATTCCAACCTATATTAAATAAAAATTTTCAAAAAGATATTCATCTTTTTTCTTGTGAAATACTATCTGAAAGAAATGTTGAATTATAGGAGTAGAAATTGGAACTACTGCGAACCGTGACAAACACTAGTCAGAGACCACATATCAATAACTTCTCCTTATAATATATGAATCATTTCCTAATTATATATCTGAAGGATTAGGTAAACCAACGATATTTTGATCCCACAAGAGTTGTGCTAACAACTTTTTTACTTAACAATTTTTCGATAATATCGTTCAATATATGGAATCCATCCACCACCTAACTGTTCACATTCAGTTGGTCAACAAGCATAACGTGTTAAAAAGAAATAATAATAAACGAAATTCATTTTCAAATAATAATTTTCTTACAACAAAATCTTGTATCTTCATCTGAATCATCCGAACAATCTCATGGACGATCACAAACTTTTCATCTTGAAAGATATTCATCATTGCGACAAGTAAAATTAACTGAAGTACATGATGATAATAGTGCTAAAAATAAATAAAAGAATATTTTTTCTTTTTTTCTTGTTTCAAATTTTACTTACGAACACATATACGTCGATCATTAGCTAATTTTAATTGTTGCCTTCTGGGAAAAGCATATTCTTGAAGTTGATCAGATGCAACATGAATATGAATTGGACGATTTGGAACATCATTTTGCATTTCAACCATGGTAGCACCAGTGTACGTTTCTCAGTACGATAAATACCACCTGTAAGAGACGAAATATACTTTATTTTTACAAAATGATTTTCATTAAAATTATTGCAAATATATGAACAACTGTTGAAACAACTTCTCGATTTGTGCTATTTAATGATGCACGATCAATATAATCAGTAAATTCAACATATAGAAAATGTTTTTCGATGCTTTGCCAATTCAATCCTAATATAGAATTGGGATATTTTACAGCTTAGCTCTAGAGTTCAAATTTAGTGTAATATGGACAAAACAGTTTGGTACCAATAAATAAATTCTCATAATTGTTTCCTATTCAGATCGATCAAAAGCATAGATACAATCTGCTGTAATTTTTTATCTTGAATGTGTTGTTTACAGGCACTATAGTTAATAGTGTGCTGCAAAAAGCCTGAAGCGGAAAGTTCTCTAACTAATAAATCGCGTTTGAATTGAGACTATGTGCATTATGCAGACCGAAATAAGTTCATGCCAGTATCTTCTTATTGCTGCGGAGAGACTGCACTTTTACGTTGGTTTGTAAATGAATGTCATGCTACAGAAAAACTGATTTTCGAATTTGAAATTGAAACTTTGCACCAAGACAGACCTTCGTCAGAATTGTTCTATTAAATGATTCAAAACTACTGCTATAAAAGTTGGTCTCAGTATCCTTTTAAATAGAATGTGTTGGAATAAAAACCATTCTTTATACTCGTTCCAGCACATGTACACCAGAAGAGCATAACAATTGACTCTTATCTCATCTCTATTGAATCGCATGTTATTGGTTCATATTTTCACAAGTTTTTGATGACAAAATAAAATAACGTTATTATAATTGCTTAGTATCATTCGGTATAACAATGAATCTGACATTTTTCATAGTTCAACCCACATCCACCTGAGGGTCGGATCGAATTGTAGGACTCTACATGACATTCATTTAAAAAACACTGTAAAAGCAACTTATTAGATGGATGAGTTTCCGCTTTCAGTTCATTTCGACAAAAGATAATGCTATGTGTTACATATCTATCTTTCTCATTCTTACAGTCATTTTTTGATATCCAAGAATTTCTGAGTGATTGATATTATTGATTCTACACAATTTTTATTTATTTAGAATAAGATCCAACTAACTTTCTTGGTCTATCAACTATTGTTTGCATTACATTAGAAAAAAAACAGATATAAATGATTTTATTTTTTGATTACAAGAATTCATTGATTAATCGCAGGTCATTCAAGAGCAGAATATGTTTTCATCATAATAAGTACTAACAATAACATTATCGGAGTTATGCTTCTGACTCAAGAATTTAATTTCTTGTAAACAAAAAGAAAATAGCATTACAATGATTGTTTTCATCGTGAAAGTTGTGGTGAAGCAGTCGAAAAAATCAAGTAGGTAAAGATATAACAAGTATATGTCGAGGAGTACTAACACATTTTTGTATTGATTGAGGAAAAGATTTTACGTATGATATAATTTATTTGCATTGTTTTATTATTATTATTATTTATGTTATCTTTTATATAAATTATATAGTACCAACAAATATGAATAAAAGCGAAAAGAAATAAAATCAATGATTTGAAATATACCACGGAAACGTACAAATCTATTGTGGGTTTTTCTTCTTTTTTTTGAATTATTTATTAAATCTCTATCATTCAAGCATTTTGCTTCGTTAGCTGGATATCTAGTCTCTACTGTAAATGAGAATCATTTATCAAAAGCATATTAGTGCGTATAGATAAATGAACTCTAATTCAAACAGATTTCAACCGTTTTTTCTGAAATTTCTTTTGAAGAATTTTTCCTAGTCTAGAAGATTTTTCCATAAATTAGAGATCAATAGCTATTGCTGAATAGAAGTCTGAAACAAATATTTACATCAGAAAAGTTTTGACTGGCTATCTATGATTTCATCAATTGAAAGTTAAATTTTAATTGACAAATGCACTAATAAGTGTCTAATTTCTAGTATAGAAATGTTACTTGAATTCTTTGAGATCCTGACGTATAACAAGCCTTAAACTTCAAGCAGTACTATCGAATTCTCGTTTTGAATGGTATGATGAAATTAAACTTGCATTAAGTAAAACAACTGATCAAACAGTTACTTTAGATACTTCAAAGAGAAAACAATTGTGTGAAAAAAAATCGAAAGCAATTTAGTCTTTATCATATCTTTATTTTTTATTTTTTCAAACGATATAACAAATTGGAAAAGAAAATTCAACGTGCACCATTTGTTCAACATATTGAAGATAATACGTATTGATTGTCTTAATGAATAGATTTTTTGGATTAAAAAAAAAACTTCGTTGTTATACTTGAAATTTCTCAAAAATTTAGATGTTCTAGTAATTATTTGAGTTTTTTTTTAGATAAATAAATAAATGAAACCAAATGGTAATATCTCTTAATTAAGACTTATCTTTTTCGAATGAATCGACATTTAAACGTTGACTAAGATTAACTATTTTTTGGTACTTCAAAATGTTTAAAAACCTAATATGAATACCTGGTTTAAACAAGTGTGTATATATGTATAGTTAACTTACTGCTTTCAACGTTTAAATCGAACAATTGCTTCTTTTACATCATTCAAAATTTGTTGAATGAATTTTTTACAGAAGAATGTAGAAAATCAATTTATTTTGCATAAAACATTTATGATTGACTAGATGGTATTCGAGTTTCACTTGACTGTAAAATCTGGTTCAAAGCTGTCAATGTCGATTAATGGATTAATCATTTGGATAATTGGAATGAAATCATTTTCAGACATGGTAGTGAAAAGGTGTGAATGAGGATATGAAGAGAAAACCTATGCGTACAATACTCTAAACATAAAATTCGAATTCATCATCACTTCTCTTGGTTTTTAACTTTATTTCGATCGATATCCATTCATATAACTATTTTCAATTTTTGCTCTTAAGATATAACAAGAACATCTAAATCTTAATGTGTTCCTCTTTTTCTTGTTAATTTGAGTGATAATTATAAATTATTGATAAATAAAAAGTTTCTTTTTTTTAATAAAATGTTTTCATATCCATAGCAGAGATACACGATAGAGATGTATAGAATGACGATCGTCACGACGATTAATATCAATATTATTTGAAAGTTTCAAAAAGCATCTATAAATCAGCGGTATAAAATTTGCTCTCACTACGTGTAATATCTGAGCAAGTAATTCTCTACCAAATGAGACGTTTCTAAGCTCTCTACGACGATTCTTGGGCAAACCATATCAACTTTAAAGAAAACCTACAGCAACATTTTTTTGTCAAGTCTTTACTTTCCCAATGATCACTAGCGTGAATAAATTACCTTAACAAAAATTAGAGTATAGCGAATTGTTTCCTTATTGAACAGATATTCGGTGTTTTTAGTAATTTATCAATATAACTTGAATGTTTGAAATTATGAATTTATTTTCATATTTTATCGACAAATTTTTATGTAGAAAAAATAGAGAATATACGATAAAGTTAAACCTATGAGATTTGTTTATACTTTACGTGTGAATTTCATTTGATATTCTTTGAGTGAAATCAATAAAGAATCTTGATCAACTTGATATTAGTCTTACAACATCTGGAAGTCAATATAACATAACAGAAGAATTTTTTCGACAAAAATGAAAAATGGATTTACAAGTCGAATATGTTCAAATCTTAAGTATATTGTATTGATTATTACAAATTTATATGTTTGATTCTTTTTTTTTCATAATAGAATAAAATGAAACAATTTTATTTTATCTTGTAGTAAATCATTTAACAGATTGTGGTAAGCTCAATATAATTTTGTTACTATCTGTTGAAAGCTCTAGTATTGTAGAAATTAAATTAATTTTAATATAATTTACTAGATGATTTAGTAAAAAAATAAAATAAAATAAAATAATTTCGTTCTATTCGATTATTATATAAAAGTCTTATGAATATATTATTTCTATTCTTTTTTTTTCATTTTAATTTTCTTATTTGTCCTTGTTTAGACACGAAAAACTAGAATCATCTAGTCCATCAGTGATTCTTTTTTTTTCTTACTTTTGATTGAATACGAACAAATTGTTTAAATGTTGTAGAACAATTTTTATTCAATGTAGAATATTTTAAATAAAAAACGTTTTTCAGTAACGATGATATTGTATCATGTTGTATTTTGAAATAGTGATTTGTCAATCATGTATTTGAGTGCTGGTCTATAGTGTAAAGAGAATAAGTACATATATGATGAATTGATCGTCGACGAAAACAAAGATGACAATGATCATTTCATCAATTATTGAGTTCATGAGAATGAATTGTTTTCTTTTCGATTTCGATCATCAATCTTTTAATTGGTGGAGAGAAAAAATAACACTAACGTCATTGACTAAAAGTTCATGTCTCAAACATATATAAGGAATGATTTTCTTGTATGAAATCATTCTATTGAAACAAACATCCCATCATCAACAATACATAGAATAAGTAGTCTAATGATTTTATTTTTAGTAGGTGCAATCTATATTTATGATAATGAAATTTATACAATCATACGGTACCGTATCATTATTTACAATGTTCCAAATTTGAATGTTAACATGTATTATTAACTTACGTAATGTTTTATATATTTCAATTTCAAATCGGGTATGTTGCTATAGTTTTTTTTTATATAGAAGGAGAATAGAGAGATAAGACAGTTACTAACTAAATTTAATCTTTTTTTTTTGCTTATTGAGATGCGAATAAATATAAATAAATTGAAAAGTTCTAATGGCCAATAGAACTTTTCAAGTTATTTTTTTGATAAGGTAGACATGTAATCTATTCCAGATAGAATATTTTTTGTTTTTCTTTGTTGTAGTAGTAGAGTGAGGTATTAACTTATATCACAGCCCGTCAGATGGCTTCGTAATCTGACCCAGGGAGATCTCTTGTGCCTATGTTGGCGAAAGCAGTGGAGTACTCGGGAA